TGCGGCCAGATTCAGATAGTGGGCCAATTTCCCTTTGGCATTTCCGGCCTCTATACCCAGCATGCATTGTCGGCCTCACGTTCAAGTGCCCGGGGCCTAACTAACTCAGAGGCCCTGGGATCTCCACATTTGCAGAGATTCGAGACTCGGTGCACTCCAACCAACTGGCGTGCTGCAATTGTATGGACCCCACTTCGTGAAATGTTTGCACAGAGGGCTCTTGTTGATTTGCTGGCCCGCCTTCACTTAGGGCGGGCACGAGGCTTGCTGGGGCCTTAGCCCAAAACATGTACATCATGGCAAGGCCCCTWCTTGAGGGCTCAATCCTCACATTCCATCCCCCTTAGCTTCGAAAGTCCGCTGAGATGCTTACTTCGCAGGTGCCTTCCCTTTCAGCATCCTCTCATATTCTGCCACCACCTGAGGAGCTGTGTCGATCAGTTCCTCTCTTGTGAACCACCGGTCTTCCTTTGGATCTGTATGATGCTTGAATCTAACGCGATATTCTCTCTTGGGTTTTGGAGGTCTTCCTCTACCCAACGGCTTCTGAACAGGCAGATCTCTGTAATCCACAATGTTGTCGATGTCCACTTGACCATCCATGGTTGGGGGCAGCATCGATCTCCTTGAAGGGAATTGATCAGTCTCAGCGAAAGGTGCAAGCTTTGAGGCATGAAAGACAGGGTGAGTGCGTAGGTGACCAGGGATACGGATAACATAGGTAGGCCCATCCATCTCATCCCCCACTACATCCTGGACTTCCTAAGGACCAAAGTACTGAGGCATTAATTTTGTAGAGATACCGAATTCCTGYCCTAGCTCACTAGCCTTGACCCAGACACGTTCCCCTACCTGAAATGAGGACTGTCGTCGATGATTGTTCTCAGAAGCAATCATTGCTTGATGAGCTTTCTTAATATGCTCGACAACTTGCTGCAACAACTTCTCATACTGCACACCATATTCAAGTGTGCCTGGAGTTGCAGAGGATCGGTTTTCAGGTAGGAGGAAGTCTAGAGCAGATCTAGGCTTCCATCCCAAGCGCAGCTGGTTAGGAAAAACGCCGGTACTGCTGTGTACAACGTTGTTGTACAGGCTGGCGATGAGAGGCAACTTCTCATCCCAATCATCCTGGTTGGGCTTAATGTAATGCCTCAAGCAAGTGTTGTACAACTCTATTCATTTGCTCGGCTTGTCCATTGGCTTCGGGATGATTCCCTGAAGTCATCTGAAGTTGACTACCCATCTGCTCAGCAGTCTTCATCCACAGCTCACTTGTGAAACGGACATCTCTGTCACTAACGATTGTCTTCGGTAAACCAAAGTCACGCACCCAGTTGTCTTGGAACAACTTGATGACATGGTCCGTCCTTGCAGTCTCTGGCATGGCAACTAGTCTAGCGTACTTGGCGAATCGATCAATGATGACGAAGATGTGCCTCTTGCCACTCTTGCTGGTCACCAGGGTATCCATGAAATCCATGGAAACACTTTGTCCTGGACCAGCGGGGATAGGTAAGGGCTTCAGCAACCCAAGCGGTGCTTGAGTTCGCGGCTTGTCCCGCTGACAGACCTGACAGGTCTCTACATACTTCTTCGAGTCATCTAGCATTCCAGCCCACCAAAATCGTTGTACTACATTAGCACTTGTCTTTTTGTAACCAAAGTGCCCGGTTGCGTCATGGCATTCTCCTAAAAACAAACTACGCAAACGTTCACTAAATGGAACTATTGGCCTGTTAACACCGGCCTTATCAAGATAGAGGAGCCTGTCCACCATCACAAACTCACTTTCCGTGGCCTTGTCTTTCGCCTGAAGTTTGCGCATGATGTCCATCGTGACAGGGTCTTCCTGATAGGCTCCCACCAATGATTGAGTTACTTCTTCAGATACACCAAAGTCAGAAACTAGCGCACCTAGGTAGTCTGCCCTACGTGATAGTGCGTCTGCAACCTTGTTGTACTTTCCCTTCAGATACTCAAGCTTGAAGTCATATTGGTCTATGACTTCAATCCATCGCTTGAGTGCGTCAAAAAGAGCCGGTTGAATCTTGATCCATCTGAGGGTCTGATGATCAGTCCTCAAGTAGAAGAACCTTCCCAATAAGAAGTGTCTCCAATGGACAAGTGCCTTGTAGAGAGCATAGAGTTCCCTCTCATAGGTGGACTTTGCCAATTTCTTCGATGGCATTTTCTTGCTTATGTACTCAATCGGTCTCAACTTCTTCCCATCCTGCTGAGCCAGCACTGCGCCAATGCCATATTGGCTTGCGTCAGTGGTCACTATAAATGGCTTCTGAGGATCGGGAACCATGAGAACTTCATGATTCATGAGTGCATGCTTCAATCGCTTGAAAGCACCCTCGCACTCATCACTCCAGTCCCACGGCGTGTCAAGTCGAGTTAGATCCATCAAAGGAGAGGCGATTGTAGAATAGTTCTTTACGAAGTTCCTATAGTAGCCGCACATTCCTGAAAAAGATCTGACCTCAGTGACTGTTTGAGGTCGTGGCCAGTCTCGAATACTGGCCACCTTCGCATCTTCCGGCCTAATCCCTTCCGCAGATACTTCATGACCCAAGTATAATATCTTAGTGCAACCGAACTCACACTTCTCTAGGTTGACCTTATACTTGTGCTATCGCAGGAGTGAAAGTACAGTCTCAACGTGCTGTGCATGCTCCTCGACAGACTTAGTAAAGATCAGAATGTTGTCAAGGTAAACCACGACAAACTTATCTAAATGGTCATGGAAGATCCGATTCATAGAGTGCTGGAATATTCCCGGTGCATTGCAAAGACCAAAGGGCATCACTACAAACTCACACTGACCATATCGAGTCTGAAAAGTTGTCTTGTGTTGGTCCTCAGGTCTTATAGCGATCTGATGATAGCCGGATTTCAAGTCTATCTTGCTATAGTACTTGCATCCGTGCACCCTATCCAGTAGGTCGTCTATGCGAGGTAGAGGCTCTACGTTCTTCACTGTGATGGCATGGAGGCCTCTATAGTCAATGCACATCCTCAATGTACCCCCCTTCTTTCGTACAAATAGTTTTGGCGATCCGTAAGGAGAAGTACTAGGCCGGGTCCATCCCTTCTTTGTCAGCTCTTTCAGTTGTCGCCCAAGTTCATCTAACTCGGCGGGAGCCATCCTATAAATCCTTCACTTTGGGGTTTTACTCCCTGGAATGATTTTTATAGCGAGGACAAGTTCCCTTTCTACGACCCCTGTGGCCTCCTCGAACAGATCAGGGAACTTAGCAACGACGCGTTCTATCTCTGGGGATGTTTTAACGGCCTCCCCTTTTTCAGAGACATACACAAGGTACATACCTTCCTCTTGGTTCTGCTTGTAATAGTTGTAGAACGCTGATGCGCACAAGCAGCCATAGGTATCTATTATCCTAGTGGCTTTGAACTATGTCAATCTGACTGTCTTGCCATCAGGCAACTTATGTTTGAGCACCTTCTTATCCCAGTCGAACTGGGGCTTAGAAATCTCAAGGTACTACATGCCTAACAACATGTCAAATGGCAAGTCGCCGCTAACCAAGAACGAAATCTTATGATTAAGTTCTCCTCCTCCATAGGAGAAGGTACAGACTACGTCCTTGATGTAGTCTGTGACTATCATGCGCTCCTTGTTGGCCAAAGTAGATGCTACAGGTCTACTAAGGTGCCGTACCCGGTCCTGTAGGTGCAGCCTTTCCAAACAGTCGCGACTTATGTAATTCCGCGTGGAGCCTATGTCTATGAAGGCACCACATTTGCGGGTATCAGGCCCACTTCACCATGAGTAGAAGCAGCTAAAACTTCCACCGGCCTCACATGTTTCCCGAGCTAGAAGCCTGGGAAGAAGATGCCCCCAACTTAGGAGGTATCTTTTGCGTGACCTTGGCGTTCTGACACTTGTACAGGGTGTGTCCGTATTCACCACAGTTTATACAAGTGCCACGCAATCGGCGGTCCCGCCACACGTCTTGATCAAGACCTGCCTTGACCCAATCAGCCACTTTGGTCTGATTGGAGGCGGCCTTCCCTTGATTCTTTGGTTGGCCCTTCACTCGGTCACCAACCTTAGCTTTTACTACTGCGGCGAGGGTGCTACCCTCAGCGGTCTCCTCGCCGTTGTACTCTGAAGTGTCCAGCAGGTCTGTGAGCTCATCAATCTCTATTTGAGTCCCATCGGACTCAACCATCATCAACTTCGCCCCCTTCTTCTTCCATTCTTGCAGACTCTTCTTCTTCCTCGCATCATTCTGAGAGGGCTGAGCATTTCCTAGTGTAGCCTCTAAGTCTAAGGCTTTTCTAGACAATGTCTCAAACGAATGGTACTCGAGGCGAGCCTCGCTGGCCAGCAAGTTCCTGAGGTTCTCTGGAAGACATCTAACAAACGTAGTCAATAGGAACTGGTCACTATAGTTGATGCCTGGAACGACGATGAGGCTCTTTATGGTAGTCGTAAGCTCTCTGTTTGACTTAAACTTTCTTTGATCTAGTCTGTTTATCGCGTCAGTGGCTATTTGTGCCTGCTGAGGATTGTGCCAGCGAGCTTCTACCATCTCGAAGAACTGGTCTAACGTAATAGACTGAGCCCAGTCCGCCATACGTCGTCCATACCCAACCTTTGCAACTATACCATCTAGCCATTTGGTTGCCTTCGCCTCGAGGTAAGATGCARYAGTAACCACTTCGTCCTMTGGCAAGGTCCTCTTCGCCTTCACCCAAACCGGAACTGTTCTCAACCAAGTGTTGAGTTCTTTGTCCTTCCTCTCGCCTGAAAAGGCAAGAGGCGGTTTCATTGGGGTCTTAGGGTACCATTGACCTTGCCGCTGTCCCTGTTGAGGAACAGTTTGTTGCGGTGGTGTAGCACCCACYGCTGGACCCGAAGAAGAAGAAGCAATAGTCTGTGCAGCTGCTGCAGACGTGCCACTTGGTTGTGTGCCAGCTTGAACTGGAAAGGGGCCAGACATCGCCGTTAACGGYAACGACGACTGTGCTGGTGGCCTGAATCCTRGCCTTTGTAAAAGGTCCAAGATCTGGTCTAGGGTGCTCTGCATAAAGTCCAATCTGCTGTCCACATGCGCATGSAGCRACAACATATTGTTCTTCAATGTTTTCATTGGGTCAGACARTGCTGACTCATCCAAGCCCTCTAACTCAGCTTTGTCTGCCTCTAAYGTTTCAAGCCTGGCTGTTCTATTCTTGATGTCTCTTTCCCTATCGGTTGTTTCCTTCAGTTACCTCTCTAATCGTTCACGGATCCTTTCGACCTGTTGGAGCTCTCTGAGCTCCCTTTCGCGAGGAGTCAACGGGCTGAATTGCGAGCCCGCCATTTGACTTGTAGACTGACGAGAACCTACTGAACTGGAAGTACCGGTGGACCTTGTGGGCATTCCCAACATGGTCCCATTGGTCCCAGACGAGGACGCAACCGAGAATGCTGTTGCAGAAGACATGGCTAATGCTCTGGCTGCTGCTGAAGCCTGTTCCCTAGCTGCGGCGTTCGTTGTTTCCCTAGCTGCTGCTAGTGCACAGGCTCTGCATTCGGCACGAAGCCGTCTTTCTTCTCCCGGTTCTAGGGCTTGGAGCACGTGCAGGGTCCTAAGTGATCTCGCACGTGTCAGTCTTGCATCGTCAACTCTCTCCTCATCGACGTCTGACCCGTTCATGAATTAGGCAAACATTATCTGCACTAGAACCCCCTAGTGAAGTCCTACCACAGCATGTGTCTGACCGACACTTAATTTTCTAAAAATAGTTGTGTCCGGCATGTCCCCTACTTTACCGATCAAATGGCAGCCTACAACATTCACAACAGATTGTCAACATAGTCTAGGTGTACTTTGATTACTTCACTTACAGTAGCATTAAATAGAACTGGCTATGGTAGTCTACAACAGTCCTACTCTAATCTGTCCGTGAGGCATTAGCAGTTGTCAACCAACTAATCAAAATAAACAAAGACCATGTTGCAGATGTATGATGAGTGGGTATGGTTGTGTATCCAGTTGAGCATCAATTAGAATTTACCCTTCCCCTTAATCCAACATACTGGTAAGCATCATTGAGCAGCGGTGTCTTTCGTGTGTTTGTCGGCCCACCCCTGTGCCCAAGTCATTGTTGAGCAAGCCAGCCAGTCCACTCTTATTTACCCTCGTACGGAACGAGCCTTACACCCGGTTGATCTGGCTGATCAGAAGGAATATTGAGAGCGCCCCCATCTCTTCAGGAATTTCGACAATTGGGAGGCCAATGTCAAGACCTATGTGCATCTGCAACAGGTCTCCCCGGATCAGCAGGTTCTGATTGCGATTCACGCGCTCAGAGATGAAGCCGCTAGCTTTGCAAGGTCCCAAGTTCGCGCTGCCAATTGCAGCGATGACCCCGTTGCGTACTCCTCATTCACTTCCCTCACTGAGTTCTTGAAGCTGTTGCGTGAGAGGTTCGCCGATGTCGCCCGTAGCGTTAAAGCCTCAGACAGGCTGCAGACGATCCACGCTCGTAAGTGGAAGAGCGCCAGGGCCCTTAAGAGTACCATGGACGAACTGGTAGCTGTCCCTGACCACGGAGTTACAGACACCCAGTTGGTTGGCCTCTTTTATCGGGCTATACCCGAAGCCCTCCGAGGGCATTTCTTCGCAAAGAGCGAAGACTTTGCCACTACATACGATTCCCTTAGTCRCGAAGTAGTGGCTTTTGAAGCCAAGTCTGCGTCTGTGTCCACTTTCTGGCACAAGGACTTGGACAAGGGTAAGCAATGGAAGGGCCGCACTATCTCASGGCAAKTAAAGACCAAGGACAACCTTGTCCTAACCTTAGATGAGGGTAGTGTGGATGAGATCCCCTACGACCAGATTGAGTGGGGGTTAGAGGAGGAGGACAGCGGTGTGGGCCAAGGGAGATCTTACGCTGTTGTCGCGGCTGGAGGGAGGCCGC